TACCGTAAAGAAAGCAGTGACCGTGTATAGGAGTTGTCACTTGTACCTAACAAAATGAGGTACTAATCTACCAACATTTTCCCCTCCTCATAATTAAACTTTTCCCTATATCGTAGATACCTCCACAAATTCACTTACCCCTTTATCACTACATATGCAACCCAACCATAGAAGATGCATTAAGGCTATAAGGGCAAAGTGAATGGTTGAAAAATCCCAGTTCCAGAGTGGAGGAGCCTGAACTCGGTTCGCGGTAGGCAGCCTTTGTACCTGTTGATCCCCTTCTCAGCTAGTTCTTTTTTCTCTTCATAGGCAAGTCCTTTCCCTGGTAGGTTCAATAGTGGTTTCTACAAGTAGCGACTCAAGTAACTATAGCCTAAGTAACAACCGAAACGTGCCATCGAAAAATACTAGACAGCTCACCAAAACTACTAATTAACTCTTAGTTGCAGATGGAAACCTTCAATCTTAGCATATTACGTCGTATTTTTTCTACAAACAGTCTATTGCAAGAACTCTTCGGCGACAACAAGAATTCTTCGGCGACTCAGACTAACACCCTTCATCACCAATAGTCACCACTTTCATCGCTAGAATAGTAATACGGATCATTTTCGCTCGAATAATAATACATGCCATCTTCGCTTTCATCGCTAGGATAGTAATACGGATCATTTTCGTTCGAATAATGATGCATGTCATCCTCGCTTTCTTCATCCGAAGTCGAGGTTTTGGCCTGATCTGCACCCAAGTTCTCTAATCTGTCAGCTTCTTCATTTGCCAAGTTTCCACAATGACCTTCAACATGATCCACGTCTATAGTATCCCAGTCTTTCTTGTCATATTCTCTGTTTATGTAATCTTTCAGCTTGACCATTTATTTCATCAAATCGACATTGGCTATAGTATGACGGTAACAAGTCTTCCAACCGTTGTTTCTCCACTTATTGGTCCATTCGTTAAAGCTACGCACGGCATACTGGGAATCAGAAAGAATTCGAAGCGGACGTCTAGCGCGCTGAGCTGCTAAATCCTGATGAACATTCCTTAATGCATGAAGTAGTGCGAATAGCTCCGCATGTTGATTGGTTGGTTTAATGTCCGAGTCCATAGCCCCGCCGCATTTCGACTATCTTCTGGTCCATAGTAGACACCATAACCAGCTTCCGGCCAGTGTTCCTTACCATTTCCTCGACAGGCTCCATCAACAAAGACGTTATGTACATATCCCCCTTTAGTAGCATATTCGAGAGCTACTTCTTCTGAATCAAACTTTCTAAAATTAGCATTGTTCTATCCATTAACTTCTTTCTTACAATCGGGCCAATTATCATAAGCGCCAGGGTTGCGACCCTCCACAACTCCGTAATATGTCATAATGAGATTATTGGCAAATGAGCCAGGATCAAAATTGAATAGTGTGGTAAAACCGGTGTAAAATCATAAAAATTGTGGAAAAAAAACACGCGTAAAGAACGTTAAGTAGATGACTTGCGACACGTAACATTTTTCTGAATGGTTGATCCCACAGTAAAAGTAGCATACCAAATCAACTACTGGAATCGTTTCTTTCTTCGATTGTATATGACCTATCAAGATAAATAGAATATGCCAAAAAATTTGTAATTAAACAATTAATTGTTTATTCGGAAATAGACCAGTCATGTGACCAATCTTTTCCAAATAGTGGAATCTGGAAATCTCTACGAAAGATCTATTCCTTGATTAGCTTTTGTATTTCGAAGATTAATTTTGCCTAGTATCTTACTGTTTAAAGCTGACGGTTAAGCACACTTCAATTCTTGAAGGGATTAGAAGGGTCATCAGAGTAAAGGCCCAGGACAGTAGGGAAAACAGGTTAAACGAGTGTCTTTAGATAAAAAGTTAGATACAGTTTTTATCTATCATTTAGCGAGGCTCTCCTCTCGCTCTGAAATAATTTACTATGGGGATAATAATCACCACTAAAGAAAGACCACAAAATCCCCTTGGCGAACTCACGAGCAAGGGACCACCCTTTGGGATGGTGTCCAAATTTGACAGTTTGTTAGAAACGAAAGGTATCAATTTTAGTATATCTCGTCATCTATTCTTCTCGAACCAAAATCTACTTGTTATATACATCATCTCTAATATT